CCCATCCATCCTCCCTTTGATGCAGTGCAATTGTCCTGTCCCCTTGGCAGAAAAACACCCCCAAAGCATAATGTTTCCATCTCCATATTTGACGGTGGGGACGGTGTTTTTGGAGTCATAGGCAGCATTCCTCCTCCAAACACGGTGAGTTGAGTTGATGCCAGAGAGCTTGATTTTGGTCTCATCTGACCACAACACTTTCACCCAGTCTTCCTCTGAATCAGTCAGATGTTCAGTGGCAAACTTCAAACGGGCCTGTAGATCTGCTTTCTTGAGCAGGGGAACTTGTGGGCACAGCAGGATTTCAGTCCTTCACGGCTTAGTGTGTTACCAACAGTTTTTTGGTGGCTATGGTCCCAGCTGCCTTGAGATCGTTGACAAGTTCCTCCCGAGTAGTTCTGGGCTGATTGCTCACCGTTCTCATTATCATTGAAACTCCACGAGGTGAGATCTTGCATGGAGCTGAAGTGACTCAAATTCGATCTTTTTGCCCAAATGTGACCCATATCCGATTTCCTTATGACAGTGTGAACAGCACAAATCCGATTTTTTATTTTTTTCAAATCGGGCCCAGGCCACTTTCATATGTGGTCCTTATTCGGATACATATCCGATGTTTTGCAATGCGACTATCGCTACGCACATGCTATCATGAGCCGCATCCATTTTTATTTTCGCAAACACAGAACGCTGTGTCTGACGTCACGGCCTCTTCTGCGCAATGTGTGTTAAGATGCTTGGTGGCCACCGTGAGAGTGATGTTGTCTGAAGAAAGGTAGGGACAGAGGTATGCATGACTGACTTTGTGTGTGGTGTGAACAACAGCGCAAAAAAATCGGATTTCGGCAAAAAATCCGATCTGAGCATTAAGACCTGCAGTGTGAACGTAGACCTTTATACAGGTAACGAGCTGAGAGGGCTCCCAATGTCAGCTCGTTACCTGTATAAAATACACCTGGGAGCCAGAGATCTTGCCGACTGATAGGGGATCAAATACTTATTTCATTCATGAAAATGCAAATTAATGTATAACTTTTTTTGTAATGCATTTTTCTGGATTTTTTTTGTTATTGTTGTGTCTCTCACTGTTCAAATGAACCTACCATTGAAATTGTAGACTGATCATTTCTTTGTTAGTGGGCAAACTTACAAAATCAGCTGGGGTTCAAATAATTTTTTTCCCTGACTGTAGCTCCAGAATCACCTGTAATGTTAATATTCTTCATTGTATTGCAATAGTGATGTTAATTTTGAAAATTTTGTATTTTACAGTTTTTGATGATTAATCAAGAAATCACATGTAATTGTTATCCTCAGTAACCTGAACAGTGCCCCGGAAAAGGAAATTGCGTTTGAATTTTTCTCTGCTATGAGCACCACAAACAACATTCTATTCACCTTCACTGTATAAAGATGACAACCCAATTATCTCAAAATCTGGATATCCTGGAGATAACAAGTGCTGTCGGTATCTCCTCCTCCCACCATTTAGAAGTTGTTCTGCATGGAAAAATAGCCCCATGTTAAACCAGTGTTAGGTACTGCATTGGTGTGGGCATATTTATTTAGCCTTTATTTCACAGGGTAAGTCCCATTGAGGTTTGAAACCTTGTTCTCAGTTCTCGCGGGGCCTGGCAAGACTGCAGCACACAGGTTTACAAAATAAGATACAATACAATATTCAAAAAAGTATTATTTCCTAGATTCACTGAAAAAGACTGACTATAACAAGGTAATCAAGATAAAATAGCTGAAGAACGATGCTTACATTTTTTTAGGGGCACTCGTATTTGATTTGTACTGCATTTTCCTAGAAAAATGGTAGAAGTCAAAAGAAATGGTGAGCATGGTGAAAGCACAAAGTACAGCACTGTCACACCATTGGCTACCCTCTGACATTTTGCCCTCTCTTTAACCAAATACCCAATTGGCTCTCACCTGGCTGTTGTTGCACTTCATCAGAGGATATTTGCGTAAAGTTGTGTTCCTCAGCTTTATCCAAATATCCCTGTAGGGTAGCTGAGTGCTTTTTGAATCTGTCAAGCTTCAGAGGGGGAGTAAGAATGTGAAGCCAGATCTCATTCATAATGAATGGCAGCTGTTGGCTGTCTCAGCCTTTGGAATCTGTATGCATGAACTCAGATTTTCATCTTGTACCCTGTCTTTCTGCTGTCAGCTGACATGCACTACCTCAGGTAAGAAGCATGTGTCTGCTAAAAAGACAGATAACAGTATTCTTTACTTTGCACTCCTGCCCTCTGCGTCCCTTTTTAACCTTTTCTCTGTCCAGGTATTACGGAAGTGATATTTCTCTCAGACAAGTACCATGACAAGCCAGAGATGATTGCTTCCAGAAGGCTGCTCAGCATGGCAGGCGTACAATACAGGTGACAAATTTTTTTTATGGCCCAAAAAATTTAAGCGCCCACGGTATGCTTTTCCTTGTTTTCTGACTTGTCTATACCTTTTCAATGGTGAATTAGCATCTTAGACATGGCCTAAAGCTCAAAAAATGAGGTGTTATATATATTCTAGGACTTCTATGCAGAAGCAACTCAGTTTATACACGGTCTCACAGACTCTCACTCACCAGACATTTTTCTAACAAAATAAAGACATTTGTGATGACATGACCAACCAACATGCTGTGACATTTGTGATGAGGCGAGGTGACCGACCAACCAACGTGCCGTGACGTTTAACATTTACAGATTATAAACCTGAAAATATAGACACCAAATATCATCAGAGGCTCATCATTAATGTTTTGTAACTATTATTTTACCAGATAAAGGACAAGTAAAAGTGAATGAGTATTTTCTTTATTATATCTCATTGTGTGGACGTTTGTCCCTGGTGAAAAAACATCAAAGTGGGATTTCCAAAATGGTGGTAAATGTATTGCTGAGAGAGTGACAGAAGCAGCACATGTCTGGTCTTTTTGTACGTCTCTTGGTCCCAGAGTCATCCACTACTCTGATCTGTTGATCCTGAATAACCACATCAGTACTTCCGTGAGGTATATCACAGCAATTCTCACTCTGGCATGGGCAACAACCACCCCGTGAGGCTTCTCATTGCTGAGCTCTACCAACAAAGAGACCAAGTTCAGCACAGACAGCAGTGTCTGCTGTAGCACAACTGTAATCCTTCCACTGTTTCCATCCATCGTATCAGCATACTGAAGACACAATGATTTGGTAAAACATGCGAGGCAGTGGTGGAAATTTCAGAAATTGTCTGTATTCAGACACAGAGTTGATCCTTGTCAGACAGACACTGTTGATCCCTGTCAGAGGGGATCTGGCTGTAGCGGGATGGAGCCATCTTTTATAAAGAGTGGAGTGAAGAGACTCCACCCATGTGCAGAACAAAAGAGGGGTTTGATCTACTGCCTTCACCCATGTGTACAATCTATCAAACTCAGTGGCGGCATGGCCATGATGGCCTCGATCAGCAGGAGCACGAGGGTGCTGAGGCGGCATGGCCTCGACCAGCAGGAGCACGAGGGCACTAAGGTGGCAGGAGCACGAGGGCGCTGAGGTGGCATGGCCTCGACCAGCAGTGACGCGACCCCAGCCATGGTGGTGCGATGTCTTTGCGCAACCCCGGTCATGGAGGCGTGACCTCTGCCAGCGGGCACAACCTCTGCCACGGTGGCATGATGTCACAGCAAAACCCCGGCCGTGGAGACAAGATCTCGGCCATTGAAGCACAATGTCATTGCGCAACCCTGGCCAATGAGGCACGGTTCTGCCCCAGAGGCACAGCATCATTGGGCAACCTCGGCCATGGAGATACAACACCAATGCGCAACCCCGGTTATGCAGGCACAACCTCTGCTATGGAGGCACGATGACATGGCACAACCTTGGCCATGGAAACATGTCATTGTACAACACTGGCCAATGAGGCATGACCCCAGCCACGGAGCCAAAACCTCTGTCATAGAGGCACAACATCGTTGCGCAACCCTTGTCATGCAGACACAACCCCAGTCATGGAGGCACAGCCTCTGCCATGAGGGCATGATCTCTGCCATGGAGGCATGATGTCATTGCGCAACCACTGTCATGTAGGCACAATTCCAGCCATGGAGGTATGACGTCATTGCACGAGGAGGCATGCATGGAGGCACGAGTTCATTGCCTAATCCCGATCATGGAGGTATGACGTCATTCGCAACCCTGGCTGTGGCGGCATGACCCCATGCGTGTGTGTAAGAGAATATTAATACCAGCTGTTTTGGAGCACAGATAGATTGCGTTCACATGCATCAGTGGAAACCTCTGTCATAGAGGCACGACATCGTTGCGCAACCCTGGTCATGCAGACACAACCCTTGCCATGGAGGCATGACGTCATAGCGCAACCCCAGTCATGGAGGCACAGCCTCTGCCATGAGGGCATGATCTCTGCCATGGAGGCATGATGTCATTGCGCAACCATTGTCATGTAGGCACGATTCCAGCCATGGAGGCATGACGTCATTGCACGAGGAGGCATGCATGGAGGCACGAGTTCATTGCCTAATCCCGATCATGGAGGTATGACGTCATTCGCAACCCTGGCTGTGGCGGCATGACCCCATGCTTGTGTGTGAGAGAATATTAATACCAGCTGTTTTGGAGCACAGATAGATTGCGTTCACATGCATCAGTGCTGTTTCATGCCCTATTCTCACCACTGGAGACACTCTCATTCTCTACATAGAAACTAGCGGATTTAATCTGTAGCTGGAAGTTACTGTCAGCCGCACACATTAAAATAAAACAGTCTCTTGCCCAAGTGGGTTTTAATTTGAAATCTTTGGAACTGAGAAAAATTGGTAGAGGTGTGGCTTGTGCAATAGTGGCTATAAGGCATAGCGCCAGATATACTGAATCCTCAATACTGTCTTGAGTTAGTGATGCTGTGAAAAGATCCAGCTGAGTCAAGGTGCACTCACTGACTTCGGGTGAAACAGTCATTCTCTGAAAGATGTTTTCAGACTCTCGCAAGATGTATGTACTCTATCTCTTATACTTCCCACGGAGTTGTGATGCTTAAAAGCCCACAGAGTGCGTTTTTTATTCAGTCTTCTCCCAGGTGGCCTGAGCGATGTGTTTGCCAGCATGTAAATTCCAGAGCCCTCTTCAGGGCTTCAGGGCTGATGCCATCAGTGTGCTGACAGTGTGTTTTGTCAAATCTCACACTGCGCTTTTAAGATGGGGTTTGGCTATTTCAAATGATTTCCAGGCTAAAGTCATGACAAACCTAAATAGTTTTGTAAATATTCCTCCAATGCTTCTCCCCTATAACACAGGTGCCCCCTGGAATGCCGGTAACCCATTCCCCAACTGTGACACATAATATTGTACAAGCTGGCATTCATCCAGCATCTTCGGAGTCTTTTGACGGGTCTAAAATGTAGCTTCACAATGACTTTCCCATATGTGAAATTAATAAATTATCCCTTGTCAGAATTATGGATACACATTCACGGTCTAGATGTCATTGAGCTCACTGGCTTTGATCCAACTGTTAAATTTGCTCCCATTTGACCAGACAGTATTTCTTTTCTCTTTTCTTGTTTTAATATTTTCTCCACACGGTAAAATTTGTCTGGGATTATTTTAACTTTTTGAAGCTTTGTTTCGTATAATATTCCTTTTAATTCTATGCCATTGTACTCTTTTAATTAATACACATGCATTCTGAAACGGTAAACACTTCTTTGCTAAAATTCTGTTCATATCTTTTTTCAAATGTAGTTTTAATGCATGATATCTGTACAGTGTCACCAATTTTAAAATGAAATCGTTTTTTACAATGTGCTAGAAACATGCTATCTAGATTCTGAAACACTACTTCCGTATTGTATTGCCCATACAACATTAACGTACACAGGTCTCATTTTAATACCTTTGTGGAAACCGTGATTATAGTTATAGAGTAAATCTTGAATCACATCAATGTATCACTGTGTTTTCAGATGTAAAGTATTTATACATCTGGGTTTCTAGCATTCTGTTAAACCTCTCCACAACGGATGCTTTCAAATCGGACCCCCTGGTGAAATGAGTTATTCTGTATTCATAGGTTTTGAAAATGATGCGTTCAGAAATTTCTTGCCATTGTCAGTCTGCACCTTCCTCCGAATTCCACTTTCTTATGAAAAGGTGTCAGCAACCTCTTTTCCCATCTTTGTTTTTAGCATTCTGACATAGGCCATCTTTGAAAAAAACACTTGTTTAACCTCTGCCATGGTGATGGAGACTCAGTTTTACACACCTCATTTTTATTTTCAGAAATAACAGACACTCGGCTCTTTATTCATGCAGATTTTTATTTCACACCACCAGATGGCACAATCATATCATGATTCAGAGAAAATGGACTCAAGAATGCAATGGTGATGCAACACCAACAGAGTGTGCTATTGTATCACAATGACAGCAACTCTAGAATCAGAGCATTGTGGTTAAGCTCAATGAGAAATCTAAACAAACCACTCCAAATAGATTGCATGTTTATGTTTTCCCCGTGACCAAGTTTTGAAAAAATCACATCGATAGTGACAGCCAAAACACAATTTAAATCGGTGAATGTGAAATAAGAAGTGCACAGAAGAAACAAGAAATCTGGCTCATTAATGTGCACTGATATCACAGGGTATTGTTCAGCTACTAAAGGTTTTGGCGAAGTATTTCTCACATGGTTTAACACTTGATTTAAATGGCTGGGGTTTCTAGCCATTTGAGCTCTGTCAGCTTTATTCCAAACATGTCACTCTCTGCTCAAGCATGTACTGTATAAACATTTGCTGAATGTGGTTATACAATTTCCCATTTCTCCTAGTGAGTCTTGGCTACAGACGGTACTTTAGTCACAGATTGTAGCCCAACGTCGTACGCTGTGTCTTCCAAATGATTCAGTCCATCGTATATGTACCCGACCTTTGTCACTTCAAACAGGTAGGCTTGTGCTGCACCATGAACATAACTGTAGTTAAGATAGGGGGGCAAATACTTCCAGGTGCAGGATCTCCAGAACAGTCGGTATAAACTCAGGAAGCCGCAGTCTCTGTACAGTAGTGTTTTAATATTCTCTGCCATATGTCAGTGACTCTTAACAGGGGTACCCTGCCAGGATCCACAGACCACAGCTGGTTCAAACCAGCTTCAGGCGAGGGTAGCAGTTTCCTAATCAAAGCCACAATGCTAACACCGCGCCCGTTCTCGTACATGTTGAGTGCAGGAAGGTTTCCCTGATAAATACAGCAGGTCAGCAGTTCAGATTAAATATTAAAGTGACATGATATTTATAGTAAAAAAACTGGTGTATGAAACCTCCTAGTCTGCCCATCTGTTTCCAAAAGAAATCCTGCTTTTATTATAAACAGCTGCAAGTTATAAAAAACCAGGACCAAGGTGTCACCTGTAACATTAGACCATCCTCCATAATTCAAGACTTCACACCTAACTTTGACAGAGGCAGTATTTTTATACTGTCTTGAACCGAGCCTAAAACCGTGACCCTAAAGTTGTGACATGAACTGAACCTTGAATTTTGTGAATCGTTCCACCCCTAGTGCATATTATGATTGATTAGGGTTGGAGAAGAGTGTCCCAACTAATAATGTCTATGAAATCTTTGTATGTGTATTTTAAGTTATGATTGGAAAGTGGAGTTGCTTATTATGGGGCCCTGAAGATTTATGACCATATGGCCTGATGCCCCCTTCTTTAGGGCCAAATAATGGGTAAATGGCACTTAACATGACTACAGAGCTCATAGGAATTCTCACCCATTCTGTGGCACATTTAATTATGTATAATCTATGTTTTACTATGTTTTACTTCTTACTTTGAAGAATTTTGTAAAAATAAGCCATTATGCCAAATTGAATCAAATACTTTTTCAAATCAAGGACACAATTTGTGTCAGGGACATAGGGCTGTATGTGAATTTAGGGAGTTGTTGGAAAAAGTATAAATATGCCCACTAACAATCTGCCGAGGGACACAGAGAGAGAAGCTATTACATGTTGAGGTAAGTTGTAAAAACAATTAAGTCTTTCTGCTTGTTATTAAATTCACTAAGGCAAGCTGTGAAAGATTTCCCCCCTCTTGTTCTTATTTCCTTTCTCCTCTCACACACACTTTTCTGTTTACAACTTGGGTCTTGGGACAGGTGAAAGTATGATTTGAAAAGGCAACAAAAAGGTGACTTTCATTTGTATGTGTTTTTATTTGGTGTTTTCTATATGTGTCCTTATACCTGGGTAGTCCTGACTTGAGTGTGCTGCCTTTTTTCCTCTGTGTTTTGGCAGGGAGTTCAAGCCCAAGAGGACTGAGATTGTCATTGATTTTAATTCTATTAACCAGCCTGGAATGCTGAGCAGTGCAAGCAAGTGAAAATGCAAGTGGGGAGAAAGACTGACAAGATTGAAAGGGACTTTGACACCTCTTTTCTGTATGCCTTCTTGCCCCCCTGCTTTGTCCAAAGGAAAACTCAATGACAACTTGGCTTTGGCTTCTTCTGATATTTATCATATTCAAGATTGTTAATTTGAGGCTTCAGTGTCTGTGGCTATCTGTGGTGAAAGGTCTTTCTGTACTGCTTTCACAGTTTTCCTTTGGGTTAGGAATGTGAAGATGAGTGATTTTAAGGTCTTTATTCTTATGGCTGTCTGGACAAGTCCTAAATAAATTTTTTCCCCTTTCAAACAAGGTGTCAGACTAATACAGAGGTATGTTGATAATTTTGTTCATTTGACTTTCACATTCATAGTGGAAACTGCCCAGTAGATCAGACTTGTTCAGTTGAGTATGGGAACTGCTCAGCCACAGTTGGCCTCTTAGCTTCTGGGTTTATGTTTCACAGGGTACAACTTGTGTTTACAGCATTATTTTACAAATATGCCGTAAAGACTATTTATGCTGACTGGTTGTATTGTAGCTGAGGGTTGCGCTTTCTATCGATACCTGAAACTTGCATGTAATTTGTATTAAATTAGTATATTTTGAAATGTTTAAAACTTGTTTGCAACATGTTTGTGTAAAATTTAACACGTGTTCTTGCTTTTTAGTTTTGCCCTTTATTTAAACTGTTTTTCATAGAAATTTTGAACTTTGTCAGATATCAATAATTTGTTTTTAAAATTAAACAACTATAACCCCCATGAGGCTTTAGTAGTACATCTGTGACTAAGACTAAGAAATTAACTGCTTTCATTAAATGAGTTCCTAGATTATAAGGATTAATGTAGCCACTTTTTGATTTGCCTAGTTATTCCACCATTAATACTAAATTTTTACACATTGTGTATGTGCATATTGTGTTCTTGATATATGGATCTTATTCTTGATATTCATTTTATAACTATTCTGAAAATGTTCCTGTCATCAGTTGGTAAAACAAAGTTTCTGTAACTGGATTGTGTTATTCTAAAATGTCTTTACTGTATATTTGACAATTGGAGTAACATGAGTATTGGTTGCACTATGAATTGATTGCATTGCATTCAGGAATGACTGACCACATGCGATGGGTCAAAAAGCAAGGAAGTTTAAATTTAAAGAGCCAGCAGATTTATTTTTTTCTAATTACTGCTCAAAATACTCCTTTTTAGATTTCTTTCATGGTAGCAAAAGACTTTTAAAAAAACATGTTAATTCCTGATTATAGTCTTCCAAGACCACCTTCCATTAATCTGAAAACAGTCAATCTTTTTGTCATTCTGCTGTCTAGTATCAAGCATATGAGCTAATCATTTGTTGATAACCTGTATATTGACTACATACAATGCCTTGCAAATGTATTCATACCCCTTGAACTTTCACATTTCAACCATAAACTTAAATATATTTTATTGGGATTTGATGTGATAGACCAACATAAAGTATCACATAGTTGTTAAGTGGAAGGGAAATGATACATGGTGTTCAAGATTTTTTACAAATAAAAATCTGAAAAGTGTGGCATGCATATGTATTCAGCCCCCTTTCCTCTGATATCCGTAAATAAAACCCAGTGCAACCAACTGTCTTGAGAAGTCACCTAATTAGTAAATAGAGTCCACCTGTGTGTAATACTTTTAATAGGTTCTTTGTGAATGTTGGTCCTGGTTTAGCAAAAACAACAAGAGATTCGACGAAATGACACACGAGAGGAAAAAAAGGCAGCACTGAACAGGCTAAGCAAGGAGAGCATTAATTGGAGAAGCAACCAAGAGGCCCATGGTAACTCTGCAGGAGCTGCAGAGATCCACAGCTCAGGTGGGAAAATATGTCCACAGGACAACTATTAGTCATGTAGTCCACAGATCTGGCTTTTATGGAAGAGTAGCAAGAAGAAAGCCATTGTTGAAAGAAAGCAGTAAGAAGTCCTGTTTGCAGTTTGCCACAAGCCATGTAGGGAACAGGGCAAACATGGAAGAAGGTGCTCCGGTCTACATGCAAAACGCTATGTGTGGCGGAAACCTAACACTGCACATGAACCTGAACACACCATCCCTACTGTGAAACGTGGTGGCAACATCATGCTGTTGGGATGCTTTTCTTCAGCAGGGACAGGGAAGCTGGTCAGAGTTGATGGAAAGATGGATGGAGCTAAATACAGGGCAATCCTGGAAGAAAACCCATTAGAGGCTGCAAAAGGCTTGGGACTGGGGTGGAGGTTCATCTTCCAGAAGGACAACGACCCTAAACATACAGCTAGAGCTACAGTGGAATGGTTTAGATCAAAGCATATCATGTGTTAGAATGGCCTAGTCAAAGTCCAGACCTAAATCCTATCTGTGGAAAGACTAGAAAATTGCTGTTCAGACAATCTCCACTCAATCTGAATGAACTGTAGCTATTTTTCAAAGAAGAATGGGCAAAAACTGTAGTCTCTAGATGTGCAAAGTTGGCAGAAACTTACCCCAAAAGACTTGCAGCTGTAATTGCAGCGAAAGGTGGTTTGACAAAGTATTGACTCGAGGGGGGGTGCTGAATACATATGCACGCCACACTTTTCAGATTTTTATTTGTAAAAATCCTGAGCACCGTGTATCCTTTTCCTTCCACTTCACAATTACAGATGTGGACAAAATTGTTGGTGCCCTTCTGTTAAACAAAGAAAATCTCACAATGGTCACTGAAATAACGTGAAACTGACAAAAGTAATAATAAATAAAAATTTACTGAAAATTAACTAATGAAAATCAGTCATTGCTTTTGAATTGTGGTCTGACAGAAAAATTTATAAAAAGAAACTAATGAAACTGGCCTGGACAAAAATGATGGTACCCCTAGAAAGGATTGAAAATAATTTGACCATAGAGACATGTTAAACTAAAGTGTGCCCTCTAATTAGCATCACAGGTGTTTTCAAACTTGTAATCAGTCAGTCTGCCTATTTAGAGGGTGAAAAGTAGTCACTCTGCTGTTTGGTATCATGGTGTGTACCACACTGAACATGGACCACAGAAAGCTAAGGAGAGAGTTGTCTCAGAAGATTAGAAAGAAAATTATAGACCAACATGTTAAAGGTAAAGGCTATAAGACCATCTCCAAGCAGCTTGATGTTCCTGTGACTACAGTGGCACATATTATTCAGGAGTTTGAGGTCCACGGCACTGTAGCCATCCTCCCTGGACGTGGCCGCAAGAGGAAAATTGATGACAAATTGAAGAGACGGATAATGGGAATGGTAACCAAAGAGCCCAGAACAACTTCCAAAGAGATTAGATGACACAAAACTGGAACTGTTTGGCAAGTCACATCAGCTCTATGTTCACAGACGCACAAATGAAGCATACAAAGAAAAGAACACTGTACCTACTGTGAAACATGGAGGAGGCTCAATTATGTTCTGGGGCTGCTTTGCTGTATCTGGCACAGGGTGTCTTGAATCTGTGCAGGGTACAATGAAATCTCAAGACTATCAAGGCATTCTGGAGCGAAATGTGCTGCCCATTGTCAGAACGCTTGGTCTCAGTCACAGGTCATGGGTCCTGCAACAGGATAATGACCCAAAACACATTGCTAAAAACACCCAAGAATGGCTAAGAAGAAAACATTGGACTGTTCTGAAGTGGCCTTCTATGAGCCCTGATCTAAATC